GTTGTTAGGGGTTCTACGAGAGTAGAACTGGAGGAGGTCTTTTACGAGGAAAAGTGCAGACACATCTTTTTTGCGTGCACTTACTAAGTTACAATATTATGTAGTTCCGTGATCAGACCGTTGTATCAGGGTCCCTTAGACGAAGTCAAAAGCAATGGAATGCAATGAAAAAGCAGTGGAACTGAAACAATAAAAAAGTAACAAAAATAAATGGTCGCGGTGGATTAGGAGAGGAAGTCGATCCTTTACGAGTTCTAATTTTAAGGATTTAAGTCGGAAAATTTTTCAATTAGTGTTTTGGATAGGTGGTCGCTTAATACGGGGGGTGAGATAAGCAACTCGGCAAGCTTCCGTCGCAATAAAAGGACCCCCTCCTTCATAGAAGGTTGACGGGAGGGAGTAACATTTCCTTTTGTACTTGGACAATAAAAATTCTTTTTGTGGTCAATTAAATTGCAATTCATTGCAATTTAATAATTTTTCTATCTTGTTACATTAGGAAATTGCGCACGACTCTGATCTACGTCCTGGTGTTTTTGCTGGTGTTCTTTTGGACGGTGCCTGTACGTAGCGTTTGCTTCAACGCTGGTCTCTTTACAAAACCTGACAAAAGTTGCTCCTTTTTTGAAACCAGGTGAGATTTTACTGTTTTACCAACGCTTGAATCCCAGGATTACTCCCTATAATGGCGTATAGGGGAAGGTTTCGCCCCGCCCGAAAGGGATACCTTTTTGAGGCTTTAGGTGTCTAATAAAAGGATGAGGATTTCAGTGGGAAAAGTATAAGAAAGGGTAGGAAAATCTGTCATTTTGGTCTGTTAAATGTCCTAAGGGGGATAACAGACGCCATTTTGTAGCTATGAAAAAGGCAAAAAAACTTCCTGGTTTAGTAACTTTTGCGTATTTAGAAGACAGTGCATTCACAGCAGTTAAAAGAGAAGCAAAGTTCTGAAAAAGGTATGTGAAAGGGGTAACATTTGTCGATAGAAGTTTATAAAAAAGTGATACCTTTCCTATCAAAAGAGGTATATAAAAGGGTAAGGGTTAAACCTCGGAGCTTTCTTGAGTTTTTCCCCGGGCTTGAATTTCGTTTCAACTTTTGGTGTCCTCTCACCCCGGCTTTGCATTTTCCAATTTCACCTGCAGTTCTAGAACTTAACGCTTTTGTCAAGGGAGCAATCGAGGGCTTTTTATCCGGCTTGGCATTGTTGGTTTTCTTCGCTATTTTGCCTCTGGTAAGTTTTTACTTCATCTGATAGCGTCAATTTTTCGTCAGTACTTTGATAAAGGCACCGACGCAGCCTTTTTTTGTGTGTGTCATTACGTGACGACTCAAAGAATGGTTTCGTAGGAGACTATAATTTGACTGCTTTTTTCACATAGCTCAAAATCCCGCACAACTCATTCCTTTGTTCCGCAGCTCGTTCAGGCGGGCTATTCACAAACCAGAATGACATACAGTCTGGAACGAGTTCATTTTATCTCCATATATTTCTCTGTTTGTGTTTACATGATACCGAAACCACATTTCGTTCCCCACACAAGTCATTCTGGAATTCAATCCGAATGAAACCGTCGTTCTGGTACAAGATCATTCTGGTATTATGTAAACCGAGATCGAACTTCCTTCCGGATTGATTGTGTTTCTGATCTGGCGCAAAAACCCCGCGAGCAGGAACGCCTTTGACGGAGTCGTTCGATTTTATCATGTGAATGCGGTACAAACTTCACTCTGGAACAAAACTCATTTCGGAATGAAAGTCGCTCCGGTATCATATAAACACCCCCTCAGTAAAAACAAATTTACTCGACAAGGGATTATAGTTTCTACTCTAAAACAAAGTTTCAGTTGCAAATTAACCAGGAAAAATACGTAGACAATGTTATAATGGTAAAATAATATTAATTCATTTGGAACTAGTCGACTCCTGAGTCCAACTCCGACTCTCTTTCGCGGACCCATAAAGCTTGATGCTTTATTATTACCGGTATTTGACATACAGTACGTCAGGTCTGCCTGTGGTTAACCTGCGATACGGCGCCCTTTTTTTTCGTCTCCCAAACAAAAAGGAAGACGCAGATCGCCTGATCGCAGGTTAGCCTGTGGTGACAAAAGGAAAGTCAATTTTTTTTCACGTATTACTACTAAAAAAATAACATTTTCATCCTGTGATAGGTTCTGAGGCTTTTTAGCAAGCTTGAAGGAATTCCTACGGAAAGTAGAGTAGACCAATCCACGCTGGGAAAATTGTTCATTTTCATGGTAAATAACATTTATTTACATTTATTCGATTAGTTGTTGTCAGTGAGTGGTCAATGCTAAGTATAAACCTTAACCACGGCAGCTACTACAAAATTCGTTTCTATAGCGCTATACATTATAATTGACTATTTAAGACTTTCACACTATGCCGTAGAATACTAATTCTGAGCAACATTCGTTTTCTTTATTCCGACCTTCAAATTCGTCCCATTGCTTCCTAAGCCCTTTTTTTTTCTTCCCTGGGTCCTTTTTCAACATTTTAGTGTTGCGTAACATTAACTTATGAGAGTTTAATGGGGATTCAGCTGTCGCTACTTACGTCAGTAGTAGTCAAAAAAGTAGCAGAATTCGTATCATGACGTTTTCTGGCGTTTGAGGCCGGTTCAGAGCGCCACTAAAACAATGACGCAAAAGAGTTTCAGTTTACGTACTGTTTGTGTCTTCTTCTTCTTCTTTTTTGTATTTATTCATTGGCTTTACGTTCTTTCACAGCTTGTGAACAAGTTTCTGTTCATGACTTGGATCAGCGCTCAATAAGCTGAAGGAGATGTTAGACAATCCAAGCCAGATTCCAACTTTCCTTGCCGAATCCCTCCCCTCACAGTCACTGTTTTTCATTTGCTACATCATGTTGGCAACACTGACTGGATATGCGCTGCAGCTACTGCGCATTGCACCGCTTATTATAGTGGCTATTAAGAGGAAATGGCTTGTCAAGACGAAGCGCGAGGAGAAAGCAGCCTGGAGACCACCACCTGTCCTTTATGACCGCGTAGTAAGTAACAGTGACCTGGGAAATAACTTCCTAAAGTTGCTAGGCGACTAGACTAGCCCCAGCCACAAATTGCTCGGCAACGTTTGCCCAACTTTTGCCTTTTGGAGCAGCTTTTAATTTTTGGGGTAACTTGATTAAATTTTAAGCAACATAATTAAACAGTCCCGTAATACTGTTTAGGCCATGTTATATATCCTTACTTAATAAATGCTATATAGGTTGGGATTGAGGAATTCCCCCGACTTGTCCCTTGACAATCTTGACGTGTAACGTCGAATCAAATTTCGACGAGGAATACTGGGAACTAGGTTTGATTTGGTTGCAGAGCAGGCAGGGGGTCGAGCAGGGACTTAGCAGGGCAACCTCCTCCTCGACCCAGGGTTTTCTCCTACTCGTCCCTCGGAGCGAAAGAGACGAGAAGGGGAGGACCCTGAAAACGAGGTTGTAGCAGGGGTTGTATGAGGCCGTGCATGCATTGTCAGTAAGTTAACTAACGTTGTAATCTCATTTTAGTTCGCCAATCACCTGTTCATTCTGATTGTGGGTTTGTCGTACTCGGCGCTTGCACCCATTATCACTCCGTTTGTGGCGCTGTACTTTGGCTTTGGCTACGTTGTGTGGATGTATCAGACGATAAGTATATACATCCCAATATACAGCTGTGGTGGAATGATGTGGCCCATAACGTTTAACAGGTAAAACTTACAGTACATAGCATAACATTTTGTATTAAATTATGATTGGCTGAAAATTCATTCCTTATTATATTATACATTGTACTCAGTATGTGCCTTCTCATTGGCTAAGATCCTACAGACAATTTTGGAAATTCGCGCAACCTACAGATTCAGGTTAATATTGGATGGCCTTGGAGGGGCGAAAAGAACTATAACTAATCGATCATCCAGTAACACAGTGTCAAGTCATGAAGCCGCAAACTAACACGTTTATCACCTGTGCATATTACTGCTAAATGTACAATTGATTAAAAAAACCTATTCTAAAAAGGACTCCGTTCAAGATCAGAAAAATGAAACGAAAATGGTTGTCCTTTGTTCTGCTCTTTTATAAACCTTTAAGTTAGCAAGTTTTACACCCTATTCATGTATATGTAGTGGCGCCAAAAAAACGTAACAAATTAAAGTTTGAATCACGGGCAGGGTTTTGATTTGCGACGTGCATGTTGCTTTTTTCTTCGTTTTTGTTCCCTAATGCCCCTTTCTGCAGTCCAAGATACAAATTATATTTAAAAACCTAAACCGTTTTCCGCTTTCTAGGATGATCATAGGAACAGCGGTGTTTCAGTTGTTGATGGTTGGAGTGGTCGCTTTGAAGGGATCTTTCGCTGCTTCGTGTTTGGTACTTCCGCTTCCGGTCATGACGGTCTTCTTCTATCTCTTCATTCTGCAGCATTATATAAGACCATCAGCCAACTTGTCGCTTAAAGCTGCGCACAGCCTGGAAAATCCTGCTGCTAACTTTTTGCAGGTGAGATGTTGAAAAAGAAAGACAGACGATCGTATCTTTTCTAGACCACAATGTTCATGTTTTCTTACTATGCGTTTATTGGGCTGCAATGGTCTAATATTTTCTATGCTGAGTCTTAGCTCCTCCTAAACCAAGTATAAACTATTAAAAACACTTGTTTCGGCTTTCAATGAATGGAAAATTCTTGGTCAAAAGGCAGGGACCCCCTCCTGTCACGGTCGGCCCACTGGAGGGGTAATAGGACACATAACGCCTTCTAAGAGATCTGTCGGCCGTTTTGTCTTTTTTCGACATATACACTACCCATGTTTGATTGAGCCACAGGCACCCCAATAAAACGCCAAGTCGGGACCTTTATTAGAATAGACTACGGGTTCAGACGAGAGTGAGAAACATGCCTCGTATATGATTACTCGCGAGCGGGGGACTTTTTTGCTATCGAGCAAAATTTGAATAAAACAAAATAAGAATACAAATGGAACACAAGCCCTTTAAGTTATGGCTAGACGCAGTTTTATCAAAGACCTAGTAATAAGAAAATTTACTATTTTATACCGCTGTATTCTGGTTGAGTGATTTAAGTAAAAAGGAAATCTCTGTTTGCCACTGACAGGACGTAATCAAGGGTTACATGAGGACTCAGGGAGTGCAGATTCTTCCAGAACCAGAAGTGCCAACAAGCGAAGAAAGAGATGCGTCTGATCAGGCCTCTGATTTGGAAAAAAGTATTCCTCTAACTACAGCTTCCGATGATGTGAAGTTGGACGTGTAACTAGCTAGTCTAAAACATCCTTATATCTAACGTGTGACACACAACAAGGCTGAAACTGCGGTGAAAAACTGTAGGGACAGAGGCTTTTGTCGTGTTATCAGGAAACAAAACAGGCAAAGGCTGATAAATAATGCTGTAGACTGATAGGAGTAGAATTCATGGGGTAATATAATCCCGGCGAGTAGTTTCTGGGCAGTTTTTAGTTTGAAGATACGAGCCCGGTTTCTTCAGAGTTGTACAACACGAAGTCATATTATCAATTTGATTGTGCCTATAACAAAGTGCGAGAAACTCGGTTGAGGATATTTAATGTGAGTTCATATTTCTTATCACATCAGCCTACTGCTCAACATGTCAAGTAAAGTAAAAGCATCGCTTTAAACCTTTTTCATTTTAAAAGTTATTTAAACCTTTAAATATAGTATAATTAAGTAGAAATTAAATATGACAGTTCATCTGAAATAACATTTTATCTGATTAAAAGTCATAAGGTAAGCTAATTTTGTCTCTTATACTTTCAAGTTCAAGCCTAGCATTCAAATTCATCTCCTTGATTGTAATTGGTCAGCATGGGCTAGCTGGTAAAGTTTCATAAGCATGAGTAACATTTCCTGGCTAAATTTCATTGGCTATTTCTCAAGTGTCCAATTTGACCTGTCTGATTATAATTGTTCTTGGCACATTTTACTTACAGTTGAGCAAGAAACATAGGTCTGTAATTATTACAGGCGAACCACGATTACGGGCCTCGCTTTTTAATATCAACTTTTTAGTGCAGAGTAAAGAAACAAAGGCACGGTCACAATTTGGTCTTGTAAATGTACATCATCGGATCCCACCAATTTTTGCGACTATTTCTCCAAACTTAAGCCGATTTAAAAGTGAAGAACGTTCGCCTAAGAAGCCAGGATTAACATGAGTCGTCTACTTTCAGAAATCAGATTCTGGGTTAGAGTAGGATGAAAAAGTGCTTGGTTTGGACGGGGAAGACAACTCTGTCTACCAAGCAGTTTTATTAGTACTTTAAGGGACGAAGTAAAGGAGGAGCTTTGTAAGAATTCATGATCGTTTCTCAGATAGGCATTTGATAGGGATATGAATCAGATTATAGATTTATCAGATTTATAACGGAAGATTACAAATAATAAGCGTCACCTTTAACCAGTCAGGATGAGAAAATTTGGCCCTTTTTATGGCGTAAAAGATACGCGTGGATGGACGAAAGCGACTCCGCTATGTTTGGACCACAGCAATATTTTTTGAATAAGGGAAAGCACATATTTTAAAAAGCAGGGTATAAGTGATCGGAGACTTAACAGTCAGTTGTTTGCTAATTTGCATGGTTTTTGTTTGTTGAAACAAAAGGCACTATAGGGAGTTGTGTTTGTTTTTAAGAACTTTTGAAACATTATTAACGGAGACCTGTAAACCGAGGCGATGCATATGCAAATAAATGATTTGACAAGTGCTGAGTCGGTAGTATTTAAAACTTATTTCTCTCACCGAGTTGTTGTGCAGTTTAGGATCAGAGCGACTTAAGTCGATTGGTTTGTGTTTACCCCGAAAACAAAAATTCTCAAACACTACATATTTTTCCAGGAATTTCATCAATCCATTTATTTACGCAATTTGCTTTCCTAAAGCAGGATTGAAAAAAAGAAAAAACTTAAATTATAAACAATGCCTTTAACTGAACAATCAGATCAGTTGTCTTACGAAATCTGCTAAAGGAAAACCTAAGTTTCATGTCAGCGGGTACTGATATGGAAACCAGCTTGTTAAACTTTCAAGACTTAAGTCTACCTCGGCGACCGCTACACGATTCGTTGAAAAGTTGTTTTGCAGTTAATCGTTACGATCGTTGAACTTTTTTTCTCATCGATCGTAGCGATCCTATATGAGGAATGAGTCTTTATCAGAACGTATCTTTTCCAGTGCGAGAACATCTTAAATTGTTTCAATTAAGCGGCAGGCTAGCAAGAAGGTTATTTTGTATTCCTTGATACTTCGTAGTCCCCCATTTCATCTCATTCAATTGCAAATTACTGAATACACAATTCTCAAACAAAGAAAAAGAAACCATCCAATCAGTTTGATCTAATATGATGACGTTACTCTTTCCTGATTGGCTGACACCTCCGCGATTATTCTTTCTCTATATATTTGTGATACCACCCGGATGGTTTGGGCGGATCCGTAAACCACTGCAATAAACCTCTCGATACTTCATCCATACTCAATCAACCAGTCCGTTACAAATCCCAATAGTGAACCCTTGAATGCTAATGAAGCCTTCTCACAGCCTGGCTAGTTGTGATTACCTTCTTTAACTCAGAGTCCATTCAGGGCTGCTGAATGTGATTATAAACAAGTAAAGCCATTCATCTGTTATAATATTGTACTGTCAGTGTAAATACCAGGTCGTTTGTGAGAAGTAAACTAGTTTTAACCTTGTGCGACAACTAAGCGAATGAACTAGAGGATAAAGCACTCAAAAAGAAATCGCTAAGGCAGTTAATACATCGTGTGTTTATGAAGTTAAAAATGTATCACGCGGATGGTACTTACAGTCTAAACCTTTTGCATTATTACATGATAGGTAGTAAGGGATATTCAAATTAGAGTTGCTTGCAATCGAAATCAATAGCAAAGTGCATCCTTCATAAATCAGAAAACACACTTAACCAAGTAAGTGTTATAACAATTCAGTCAAGACCGGCAGTCTTCTAAGTTTTCAATCATTTGCCCCAAAGCATGTAGCTACAGGAGAAGCTGTAAAGGTACTGTCCCTGTCGATTCTAAATTGAACAAAAATGTCCGACTAACAAATGTGACATTTGATCCTTAAACCGCAAGGAATGTATTTTACTAGGTTTCTAAAGAATGTATATTTAGCCTTTTTCAACAGAACTTTTGAGAAAAAAAAAAGAAAGAAATGACCTGTAATTTCTACTTTCTTCGCGGTTGATTTGCCTGTTCCGCTTCCTTAAACTAAATGATAAGAAGTTATATGAAAAGCATTTAATTACAATAGATCACAAGCATAATTTATATATTAATTTCCGTTTGGTAAGGATCATCTATTTTCACAATGCGACCGTTATCAATAAATCTGCCTTCCTGGTTCAGCCTCTCATTTTCAACCTCTTTTCACTTCTACGCTTTCAGACTCATTTATCAAATCGCGTTTATACAACCTCAAGAATAATACTATTATACCGATTAGCTCAAACTATAATGCTTTTTGACAAATATGTTTGGTTATAATATTTGGCACACTTTATTTTAACCGACTCAAGTATTTTTACCTTTGCCGCGCAAGCCGAATTGTCCATCAAAGTTCAGTATAATGGATGATTTCTACTTCAAGGGTGGTCACCCCTTGTGCCACATGGCACTTAAGGCCTCCACACAGAGTTTCCACACCTATCTGGCTCTCTGTCAACTGCTACTGCTTTGCCTCACAAAAGCCTCAGCGTGCTCTCTCTCGTTTCTGTTTCCACTCTCTTCTTTCCTAAAATAATCGCTCGATGTATTTGCCGCATGCTCTTATACATGCACAAGTTTGCGTAGCAGGCGCCCAAAAGATTTTGGAAACCAAACAAGAACCGACCGCGAAGTAAGAGGACGCGCGCGTTCTTGTGTCTCCACCCTCCTCTTACGCCCCATATGAGGAGAGCTACAAGGAAAGTCATAGAAAGTTAGTTTCACTGACGCTCGCGATCGACGAATGAAACCTTACTCAAGAACTGTCGAGGGCATCGTGTGCAAAACAGGAAAAAGACAATATTTATTCTACACCAGGGCTACAACAAGCGATCAATTATTGCTCGACAAAATAAGTAGAGCTCTTAGTTTATAACTAAGGAATTTGCCCTTTGCAAGCAGCCAGATATCACGGATATCTACCGCGTATTTTGCACAAAAAGCAGGAAATACAAGAATAAAGTAATGCCTGACATAACGTTGAAAGGTAAAGACAGTCATGACTGCACGAAGTCTTATTATTTAATCGGGTATTCAATCCGTGTTCAATCGCCAAAGGTCGTTGACATGAAATAGAAAGTTTAGTTTAAAGCTAAGCTTATTGATGCTTGCAGATGGCAAGTGACGGAACATACTTGGAAACGTATAAAAATATAAAAACCAGACGCTGAAGTTTAACCTGAATTAACTTTCAAATATTTACATGGATTTCTAGACTTTGCCAACACTCGTATCTTACCGAAGACTCCGTTTCGCATTAAGCTGTGATCAGCTAATTTCTTTCCTTGGTAAACAGATTTCCTGCCGGCAGGGCGAGTGGAAAAGTCTCGCATTTAGCACAGTGCGTGAAACAGTGGGTGTGTATCTGAATTACGTGTGTTTTCGATTCGATCAAATATTGTTGCATCACTTGCATGTGCATTTACGCTATTATAGTGATATCAGATGGAACACTAGGGCATTCGTGGCCACATCCCATGCATATCAGTACGTAGAACAAAGGCATCCCAAGAATGTGGACAGATTGTGGGAAAACCTCGCTATACAGTTTATAAATTGCTGCTGACCACCCCACCTAGAATACGTTTGCGAGTCGCTTTTGCTCGCCCGCAATGATAAGAAGACTTCTGTTGGAGGGTATGTGTAAGAGGTACCAGTTTTTAATGGAAGGTATATAAAATGCCCACCTTCTCTGTCAAAAATGGTATATTAAAGGGTAAACTAAGGGGGTGGGTCTCTGGTTTAGCCTCCTCCCAATTCACCTCAAGATCAGGCCAGAGACGAAGGTTTTTTTTCCTCTCATCCCCTTGGTACAATTAAGTCTAGTGAAAATAGAAGATGGATATCAAATCTAGAAATAATAACGACAAGGAATTCGTACGAAAATATTACCTATTTATTAATTAATAAACAACAACAACAACTTTTTTTGAATTGCCATTTACATAGATTGAATTGCATAGAAGAAAAATAAAGGATGATAATAGAAAAATACAGCAATGAATTACAAAATATATAATAATTAATAATCAGTTACAACATCCTAACTCTTGTTTCGTTTTCTTGAAAGATTCGAAAACAAAATAACCGATTTTTTACAAATAAAATTATCTACGTTATTAAAAAGGAATAATATTTTATCTTGTTCATTCAAAGTATAAAAGATGGGATATTTCGAGATTATATCATTAAAAAACGTTTTCCTTATACACAAATAAGAATCACAGTGAAGAAGAAAAAATCTTAAAATCAAAAAAAGGTTGTTATTATTAAAACGGCGCAATGGTGGACAGCGTAACGAGGATTATATTCTTAAATTATTATTTTTTCTTTTAATAAATTAATTTTAGCACCTGCCTTTTTAAAGTTGAATTTATGTAAATAAAATATATATTGTTTATGGTAATCAGAAGCCCATCTGAGCTTCTGCGGTAACAAAGAGCCTCGCGCAGACTCCTCGATAAAATAAAATGCCCATGAATAAAAGCTGTTTTCATTTCTGATAGATGTATCGATTGAAAACAATTTTTGACAGTTATTTTGAAAGTTATGGAAGTTCTGAAAGTTAAGAAAAAGGAAATCAAACAATCGCAAAACATCAGCACTGAAAAAGAGGTCAGAGGGGATTCCGCGTTGGTCATCCATCCAAAACTAACCGCGTTCGACAGGGCTTAACTTTGTGGAAAGGACACGTCTCAACATACAGCAGTAGCTTTTATTGAGCTACTGATAAACAACAACTCGAAATGCTATTATACAACGTGATTATACCGTTACTGAAACTAACAGTAACATAGTTTAGAACTCATCGAAAAACGTACTAAATTACATTTATACTGAACCGTTTCGTATCGTTTTAAGATGTAATCAAGTAGGTAGGACCGAGGGGACTACATTCAAACGACACGAAACGATCTGGTTAACAAATACGGCTTATCACACAGTCGCTTTGCTCGGGGCACGTTTCTCGGGATTTCGCTTATTTAAAAGCCTTATCTCAAAGTACATGTTCTCTATCGTCACTGGGCCAAACAGTACACATCATATAAGAAAGGAGTTTGCTGTGAGGGCCTTGGGAAGACAAACCCCAGCGTCGCCTATACTGCTGGCACTCAAAAGAAGAGATTCTTGAGGGAGGCGTCTGCTGTGAGGGCTTGAGAAAGAGAAGAAGCACCGGCCTCGCCAATACTGTTATTTCTTAAATACAAGCTAGTAAGGGAGGTGTTTGTTGTTAGGGCTTGAGAAAGAGAAGAAGCACGGGCGTCGCCAATACTGTTATAACCTAAATACAAGCTAGTAAGGGAGGTGTTTGTTGTTAGGGCTTGAGAAAGAGAAGAAGCACCGGCCTCGCCAATACTGTTACCACCTAAAATCAACCTAGTAAGGGAGGTGTTTGTTGTTAGGGCTTGAGAAAGAGAAGAAGCACCGGCGTCGCCAATACGGTTACCACCTAAATTCAAGCTAGTAAGGGAGGTGTTTGTTGTTAGGGCTTGAGAAAGAGAAGAAGCACCGGCGTCGCCAATTCTGTTATAACCTAAATACAAGCTAGTAAGGGAGGTGTTTGTTGTTAGGGCTTGAGAAAGAAAAGAAGCACCGGCGTCGCTAATACGGTTACCATCTAAATACAAGCTAGTAAGGGAGGTGTTTGTTGTTAGGGCTTGAGAAAGAAAAGAAGCACCGTTTTCGCCAATACTGTTATCACCTAAATCCAAACTGGTCAGGGAGGAGTTTACTGTGAGGGCTTGAGAAAGAGAAGAAGCACCGGCGTCGCCAATACTGTTATAACCTAAATACAAGCTAGTAAGGGAGGTGTTTGTTGTTAGGGCTTGAGAAAGAGAAGAAGCGCCGTTTTCGCCAATACTGTTATCACGTAAATCCAAACTGGTCAGGGAGGAGTTTACTGTGAGGGCCATGGAAATCGCAGCAGCACCAGCATCGTGTATCCCTGTGTAGCCAAAATTCACTTCAGTCAGGGACGACATGTCAAGGTGCTTACCTAAACTAGAAACTAAGCGAGTTTCAAGGTTGTCCTGGACACTTGAACATTCCAACAAACACTCACAAGCTAAACTCATATATGATTTACGGTCTTCTGCAGAGCTGATTTTTTTAGCAATAACAATAAAGAACGACATCGCAGTTTCCTCACTCCGTGAGGCTATGATGCCACTCATGAACAAAAAGACCTGTCTCAGTTTATCCAAGTATCTCTCATCATCTACAACTGAGGTAAAGTCTCTTTCTTTGCTGATAACCTGAAACGCAAGGAAAAGGCCAGCAAAAAACTCCTGAAAGCTTTTGTGTAAAAATGCACAGCGCGTGGAAGGTTTGCGCTTGGCGGCACCTGGTTGAAAAGACAAGAATCCAAAATTGATAAGCTTGCCGGTATCTTCCTCCTTTTCAAAGTACAACTCTCCTTTAAGCAGGGATTCTAACGCGAGGCTGCCCAAAAGCAAAAGTTCTTTCTTATAAACTGAAATCAAGTCCTCACCGCTGCTTTTAAGTCCGTTTTTTACTTCGTATCTTCTCAAAACAAAGGCAACTATTTCAACGTACAACTCAGTCCTGCTTGTTGGAAGAACACCTTCGAAATCCTCGAAAAGACAACAGAGTAAAGCTGTATTGAGTGGATTTTTTGTTAACTCGCCTAGCGTTTTAAGTGGATCATCATCATACTCTGGAAGTGTCAATCGTTCAATCAGCTTCTCAGCCAAGTGTTCCTTGCCTTTAAAATACTTTCTGATAAAACTTTCCGCATCCTCACTAGTAAATCCTACAATCTCCCACAGGGCGTCACAGTATGGCCTTACTTTCTTTCCAACCTCATGGCGAGATGTAATGACAATGTGACAAGCTGGGAGGAGTTTACTCTCAACGAGCGAGTAGTACATGTCCAGTTTAAAGGAATCTGCCTCATCTAATCCATCAAGCAGTAGCAAACATTTGGCCTGATTTTCTCGGATGTATTTGAAAAAATTCTCCTTAGCCTGTTCGTCAATATCATCAGGAAGAAGTTGGTCGTCAATAGCTTCCCAGATGCCAGATTTAACATCGTTGCATCTAAGCAAGAGCAGCACTTCAATTGATGGAAAAGACGAGTCCCATTCATCTTGTTTATTTGCCCAGTCATACGCCAGTTTTTGTGAGTAGGTGGTTTTTCCCATGCCAGGTTCTCCTTCGATCAAAAGAATCCGTGGTTTCGGGCAATCAGGGTGGGGTCTAAAGATAGCAGTCATGTTGGTTATTTCATCATCCGTCAATGTTCCCCGCGTTTTTTCTTTGTTCACGATCTTCAGTCGGGTGAAAATCTCATTCAGGTTGAAATTAAGGTCATCACACCATGGAAATGGTACCAACCGTCCTTCACGACGTTTGTAAAGCTGACGAATTCTTTCTATGATAGCTGGCACCCCTGAGAAATACAAGATCCAAAAAATAAGATCGATTTGGTTTTATTATACTGTCATACAAGCCGTCCACGCTCTGTATATCGTCTACGATACGCTTTTATGGTTTTGTAACGTTTGGTTTGTCGTGAGATCTGGTCATCGCAAGAAGCACCTGTTGAAGAAAATCGTTGGTTGAGACGCGGGCCACATCATGTACATCTATTTCAGTTAACCTTGTCGGACGTCAAGGTCTCATGCGTACTCCACAAGACCGCAAGGTCATGTGGGTAGCTGCATGTAAATTCTTTGCAATTTGGTCATCCATTCGCGGCTGACAGTGCCACAGAATAGTATATATGAAATGTCACAAACTTTTACCTTCTTCAGAATTTGGTAAATTTTATATGGAATTACCCATATTATTTGCGATCTCATCGCAAAGACTTTCCTGTTGCAACGTTAATCAAAATAGCTGTAGGCCGACAACAGCATATTTGCGTTTGAGTTGGGTGGATTTACTAGCACATTTCCTTCTTTTAATAGACTGTGATTACGTATACAAGAATAAACTGACTTAAAGTCAATTCTGTCAGGCGCATGTGCGGCGCTGTACGCGTCTCATGATGAATGTTTTGCTCATTTCGCCCCATATAAGGTAATCCAAGAAAGTCTTTGATCCTGGATTCACGCTGTGAATTCTGGACTCCACATACTGGATTCCGGATTCCTTGTCAGTTGAACTTGGATTACGGATTCCAATTGCTGCGGGATTACGGATTCCTGGGGCTGAGTTCCGGAATCCAAGAGTTAAATTCCAGAATCCGAAGCCCACAATTCCGAAATCCACGAGCAAAAGACTTCCCGGATTGCATTGGTGAGGCGACTCATTAAAACCAAAGTGAAGCAAAGAGTGGAATAGGTCTGCTTTAAATAAAGAAGAACATTTAAAAATTGAATGTTTATATATTACCTGCATGGTTCTCAGTTAGCTTCTGCTTCCTAGCACTATCGTGCTGAGCCTCAAAGAGACCATCCACTGAAAGAATTAGCCAAAGACAACATTAGCGTTTTGTGTCTTACTCTTAGTCGATACGCAATTTATAGCTATGGAAAGAACGGATAATCTGAATTTTTGACCAGAAACGACGCACATTTTCTTGAAGTTTGTCTAACTCTCAAAGTGCTAGACTAAAAGTTGAGCGTCTAAAAGTTGAGGTAACGACCCCAATCCTCTCAAGTGCTTCTTTCTAACTGTGACAGAATTCGTGCGTGACATTACGGAGCTTTTTTAATTTGAACTAGTTTTGTAGGACCTTGAAATCTGAAGTGAACCTCGAGCCTATTTAGCGTCGATCGTGTTACTATTTGAACTGATAAGTCGCTTAAGCACCTGAAAACTGACATTTTTGAGTGACACGCGTGTGAAAGACAATAGAGCCTTAAAATACCCTTATCGCTAAGTTTTTGATCTAGAACGAGAGAAGAGTGTATGTAGTTTTTTGACAGTTTTACTTTTCCTGAATTGTAAAGTCCGTGTGAAAAAGTGCAGAACCAGAACGTGAATTAAACCCTGAATTTCAATTTCTTAAACTAACTCTTAATTTCACGCCGCTTGGCGATGAAGATGGAATATCAGAATGGACAAAAATATTGACAAGCCTTTTGATCTCGGATCTGAGCTTCCGCACTGTCTCACTCAATATTTTACATTCAAGACTTCTTTTACTGACGGCAAATTCGGCCTGTTACCCCTGCGCCTAATCATCACACACCAAACTGACAAGAATTTATACCTGAGTAATGAGGCCAAGTGCGAAAAACACAAGGATCACTTAAAATGTGTGAGACAAGAGATGCTGCCATCATACTACCACAGGCCTCCCAACTTTCTGCAGTCGCTTGCTCACCATCCGCAAAATCAGCTATCCCTTTAACAATGAGCCACTCGAGTTGAGAATCAAATGCAGCGGCGAAAACACCTGAAATATGGAATACAATTAGGAAGCATTATTTTTAGGAAATCAAGTCTTGCGGACTTAAGAAACTAAAAGAATAATTGTCTTGCACATAGACGCATGTGTAAATCTTTACTTTCAAATAATTTTTAAAGGTTAAACTTTCACAAAAATGTCTCTCTGATTACAAACTGGAAGTTAACTGCCCAGAGACAAGAAAACACCGAATCAAGGGATGCCAGACCCCAACGACAGCCAAGTACGACAGATCATGATTTTCATGCCATTTCTTTTGATTTGCTGACTGCAATCTCTCTTACAGTGAACTTGTTTTATTCAATAATTTACTTTACTGTTAATTATAAGGGAAAAAGTTCACTTCATATTCCGTTGACGTTCTGTTAAGTTTGCAGCTGTAAAGTTCTGAATCTTGATCGAAAGCTGTTTGCGTTGCACGTAATCAGACGATCACAGATCAGACTTAAACAACACAGACATATTTTCCCATTTATTTTAGCGATTACATGTATGCCTCTTGTTTAATTTTACTCCATAATTGTTGCGTGAAAATGGTGCCAAGTGTATATCAGTTATTTCATGATCAATGAAGTGTGTAAACACCTATTTTCACATTATGATCCAGTACAGTGGAACTCCGTTAATACGGCCAATTTTGTTTGACCCATTGGTGACCGTATTAACGGAGTTCCAATGTATTGGATCATAATGTGAAAATAGGTGTTTACCGGGGCAGGGTCAAATTTCATGACGTACGGGACTTAACAACAAATACACCATATATCGCAGTCGCACTTCTTGAACAACTGTTCTCTTCTAAGCAAACAACCGGAATGTAGATATCGCGAACAGTAATTGTAAAAGATGCTTCAACCTTTTAGCGACGGCCGGCGATTAGCGAAAAAACCGCTTTTTTCACCAATTTCCTCTTCTTTGGACTGGTTTTCGGCTAATAAGCATAAGAAAACAGCTTTTTTCTTTTTCACGCATGCGAACAAGCTAAAATTTGGACTTGCACTTGGACTTTTTATGGCGAATCTCTTTCGATCTTTCTCTCTCGCTGTCCTTTTTCCTTTTGCCTTTCTCCTTTATTAGCAGTTTTGTTGCCCGCTTTTTCGTCTTTCTTTCGCATGGAATTGTGGCTGGCCAACTTTTTAGGAAAGGGACAAATATAATCGTCAAAGAGGAGTGAGTAAACAGCGAAATTAGCAGTGGGTTTCTCCTCAAAATGTTACCTGTTTTTGTAAGTGTAACTTTGTTAACATTGGTCAGAATATCCAAAACGAGATATCGCTGGAAAGATCTATCTTTGCTTACGTTGTTGCTCACCAATTTATTAACTTACACTGAAAGCTTAATGGATCCAGGAAGAAAGATATGCATCGTTCACATGGAACGAAAACGACCAACGCAGTCGTCGAAGGGCTAAACTCTCCTTCAGTGCATAAAACACTTTTAAAAATCGGCTATTAAACCGCCACAAATAGTACAAATGCACTTTAGGTGTACTGTAGTTCAAAAAACGATACAAGATCAGACTCACGCATTTTAATTTTCTAAATTTCGAACGAGTGGCCGTATTAACGAGGTAAAATTATAAAAGATTTTACTGTTGGGGATTTTAAAATGTGGCCGTTGGCCGTATTAACGGGTGACCGTATTAACGGTTTTTTTTTTTAAATCAGAAAAAGTATGGCGCGGCCGTTTGGCGGGGCCGAAAAAAAGTGGCCGCAATAACGAGGTGGCCGAAGGCGGGGTTCCACCGTACATTGGACCACTAATTCTTAAAGCAATTGTCATGTAGGTATTCAAAATAAAAATTTTCGTCGCTCCTTCAATAGCCTGCCTGGCAGGCGCCAGATAGTTCTTTTGGTCCGTTTTTTAGAGCGCGCGAGAAAAACACGCAAAGGGAAGAGGAGTCCGGACTCCTCTCCTTTTTTCCCGTCGTTCGAGCGCGTCCTCCCTTCGTTCTAAAAAAAAAACTGGCGCCTGCTTTACTCTTCCAAAAACTTTTAGTGACAAATGTTTCCCAAAACAGATGTCAAAATGCCTACCTGCTGACACTGAGAAGCAATACGGCTAATAGTCCTTTTTCGACAACATTAACGACACATTCATACAGCGTTAGCCTCGACATAAAGTAAAATATTCACAAATTTCGACAGGTCTTCTTCTCGTTGGAATTTGTGAATATATTTACTTTTGGTGGAGGCTAACCCTGTAAAAAATGCGTCTTCACTTCTTTTATTTAGCGGTCATAGCGAACTCGAAACTGGACTACAGTGTATTTCATAAATATTTACCAATCCCAGCCATGAAGGTAAACGTTTATGACGTTTAAAAGCATTCTATGGTACTGTTAGCCGCACCTTTATGACCGAATTACAACTGAAGGATCTACAGCTACCCACATAACCTTGAGTCCTGGTCACGTAGGCCTGAAGCCTTTATGCGACAACGTTAACTGAAATAGCTGTATAAGAACGCTATTGTTAAAAGCTAGCGTGACATGCACTCACCTTCGCCCTCCATCTCTACTACTGCCGCGAGGGGGTGGCGGTCGACAAGTTCCTTTCGACGCCATTGAGCTCTGATCTCCTCTGGGCCACTTAAGAACTCGCCATTGCAGTGAACTTTGACCTGACGATCTTCTGGGTTCTTTAAAGGTGCTTGCCATCCATCAGCGCAGTTCAAGATTATTTTTGAGAAAAGCTTGCTAACGTGACTACTCATGCCAGCCCACTGGTCTTGCTCGCTTGTCACCACTTTGGATGCATATGTTGTTAGTTTGGCTGATACAACAACGTCCCCTAACTTGGTTTTGTCAGGATTGAGACCACTGCATGCTCCAACAGATATCACAGCCTTGGGTTGTAAAATAGGGGCGGCATTCTTGACGGCAATCAGAGAGCTGCTTGGACCAATGGAACCTTCGTTGCATCTTAGCAGAGCAACTTTTACTTTCTCTTCATAACTTTGAAAGTTGTTGAAGTAAACGTAACCAACATCCTTGTAATAATATCTGTAGGGATCTGTTAGCTCATTGTAACAGGATAAGAACTCACAGTCCTTAACGGTTACCAGTAGAACGTCAACGGGTAGATCTGGCTGTTTCCATGTTGTTGTAACATCTTTTCTGGATGGAAGACCAACGGCCAGCTGTGGTGGGCCAGCATCACTGTCCTTTAAAAAGCTACACGCCTTCTTTGAAGCTTCTGACATGTCAGTTTTCGGCTAAATTCCACTGGAGACATAAAAGGAAAAAGAATCACACAATTTAGCCTTACACTATACACTCATTACAACAAAGTTTTTCTAAGAATGTGGAAGAAAAACATTATGAGTGTCCACGTATTAAGAGCATTACTCACTCGGGCTAAGGTTTACATGGGATCATTTTATATCATCTTGGTAAAACAAGCAATGTACAGAAATTATGATACAGAACGCAGAGTAACCGTTGTAAACTTAAAAGTACAAGAACTACAGTTACAGTTGGAATCACATGCTGTATCTAGAGATGATGCCCATGCATATTCCACTGCACTGCATCAACATAAAATCTAATCAACTAAGTACAATGGTTTAAAGGAAGATTAATTACATTCGTTGTCCACTTTATGGTTGACTAAGTACAATGACATATGCTTAATTCCCCCCACTTCCCAAGGGGGCAAAGACAAAAGCAAAGATACAAGCTAATAAGAACTTTCGGTCTTTGCTAAGCCTTGGGTAAATAAACTGACATGTAATGCAACCCCGTGATACAGCAAGAAAGGAGCCTCAGAACATGAGCTTTGTCTAAGTGAACAGTGAAAGGGACACAACAAAAAACTGTGCCTTGTTTCTGCTAGCATGTACAACAGCAGACACTTCAAAGGAAAGCAAAAGGGACGATTGGCCAGGTGAGAATGTGAAGAGTGTGGATGCCCTTCATATGTGTTGTCTCACCCACCATCTCTATTTTTTATCTCCCTTTCAAATGCCTGACACGCGGGCTATGTGTTGTCCGGTTTAGAAACATTGCCCACTGTATTCAGTCTGGGTTTTCACTGCTGCAAAAGGAAGCTAAAACTAGACAATGAAAAGTAGTGAAAAATATACTTTTAAAAAGTGAATTGAATTGAAAACAAGAACATTTCAGCCTCTTATGCCAGGGAGAAGAATTAGGTATTAACTTAATTACAATTTCTCAAGAGGCCAGGGGAAGCAGTGGGGGGGGGGGGGGGGGAAGGGGGAAGGAGAGGTGGTTAGCAGGTTTTGACCAAGATGCCAACAAATGCATGACTTCAATAGGAATTAGTTATTTGGTCATTTCTTTTGCACTTTAATGAGCCATGCCAGAGTCCACACAG